TTTCAGCTCCTGTTTTAATCTATTACCTAACATGGTAATCGATTAACACGATGCCAAAATAACACAAAACTCACATTTGGAACAGAGGTAATCGATTACTTTAAAGAGGTAATCGATTAACACGATCCTTTTTCCTCTTGAAATCATCAGAATCAGTTTGGTAATCTATTACCACACATGGTAATCGATTATTCCAGTATCAATCAGTTTTTCAACATGAGTCAGGTAATCTATTACCAGTTCAGGTAATCTATTCCTTAACTCAGAAAATTTCTGATGTTTTCAAGTTTTCATTTAAAGTCTCAAACACTCAGTAAATTAATACTTCATGTTCTCAACAATGAATGAAATAAGAAAAATGAGTATTATGATATTTTCACCTTCATGTTAATTACTAATTTTTAACACATAACAAACAAACACATACAAGCCTAATCTTTTAAACAATCAATACATTATCCTTTTGACATAGGCTTAAAATAAAAAGCAACATGAGCAAAACATCAAAACTAAAACTTCTAGGGAACATCTTCCAGATGTAGATTCTTCAATCTTCAACACTCATAATGCAAAAAATAATTGGATGTGCAGTTAGAAGGTTAGATGCAAAAATCCAGAGCATAGGATGGGGGGGTTTTATTTTACTAAGTTGTTATAAAATGGTTTGTAATACCTATTGACTTTTATTGTATAAAACTTTAATTGAATAAATTTAATTCATTTCTTTAAGTATCTTTTCTACATATTATTCATAATAATATAAATAATTAGTTATAATTAGCATATGTAATCTGGAAAGGGGGTTACACTTACCAAGAAAGCCAAGTGAGAATCTTGCTCTACAAGTTACTAAACCATGGATGGTCAAGTTAACCTCACCATGGTTCCTAGTGAACCATGGTTAAGGTTAGCTTACTCTCCAAGCTACCTTTCCCTATATATTTGTAATTCCTACATTGTAGCTCACTTTTGACATTTATGAGAATAAGAAATCAGAAATTCTCTCTCATTCAAGAGTCCAAAACCATGGAGAATCTCCTTCTCCTAGAAGCTTCACAAAGGAACTTGTCTTT